GGGGGGGAGGAGGGGGGTTGAAAGATTTTGGTTGTGTCCCAATAGGCAATTATTTGATAAGGTTGAGCATGATATCATGAGTTATCAATGTCGAGGTCTGGGTTATCTGCTGAAGCCTTCGGATGAGGCAGATAACACAGACACGAGGTTTGATAATTCATGTTATTAATAGCTGGATCATTGGATAATGCAATTCAATACTTTTTATTGGCTTAGCCATTAGGGTATATGAGCCAATATACCATAATCTACAAATATGGTAAGCGTATGCGTCAGCTTAAAATTAAAGGAGCTAAAAAATCTAATACAATTTAATAATTTAATTTAACGTCTTTTTAATAAAATAATTATTCCACTCGCGCTTGTTGGATATGAGATGATTATAGCCAACTCGGCGCTACGAGCCTTGTTGGCTATCTATTATCTCATATCCAACAAGCGCGAGTGGAATAATTGTTAAATATCATGCGAAAATCGAATTCAATATAATTGTTTTAATATACATCTTTTAAACAATCTGCAAAATAAGACACTTCTCTGAGTTTGCAAAAGTTTGAGAACACTTCACGGACAAGGAGCACGGAAACTAGTCAGACTTTGTAGTCGAAGTAATAATCTAATATCTGCTGCAGATATTGGGTTATCGTGTCAATTTCACACGCTTCTGTATATTCACTGAATGCTCTCGACCGATCAGAGTTTTTATGGTAAGTCTAATGAATAATGACAAAATCATACTTAATACCCCCAAATCCATTTCCCAGAAAGAAAATGAAAACAGAACTCAGTTCCGACTTTTACTCTTTAGACTCAAACTATCACGTGCAAGTTTAAATGTTATTGATAGTTATTTGAAACCTCCTTACCAGATGACTATATTATCCATAAGAACCAACATGAGTATAACGAGACTGAACAGATAGAACATGCTATCTCTCACTAGAGGCCACCAGGCAAGATACAAAACCTGAAGGAAAAAAATCATAAACGTGAGAAAATAATTCTAACCCACTTCAAATAAAAATATTTCTCTTTAGGTAGAACAACGACAACAACTAAAATAATAGGAAGACATGTTCAAAATTGATAAAATTTAACTAGAAAAGTATTCCGTTTACAGTTCGGAACTAGTTAAGGGTTCGAAGTAGAGTCACAAAAACAACACTTAGCCTGGAAAGTCCCAAATACGGTTGCCGAATGATTCAACTATAAAAAATATAAACGGCTTGAGGGCTGCTGAAATTCATTTCCTCTTAGTACACGATATTCTGTTAAAATACAAGGAATACTTGCTATTGCCTTCTAATTATTTGCTCCATGAAATTTTTCAGCCTATTCATCTGACTCGAATTTTGGCTCCGTAAAGTGCCACGATTTCTGGTCAGTAACATTCGAAAAACGTTTTGTAGGAAAAAGACGCCAAACGAAACTTTTAGATTAAATAAAAACCTCCTTAAGGGTGGATCTATGTCAACTAGCTCCAAGGTTACGCCGTTACCTAATGGATCTGTTTAGTCATTGAGAAGAATTTTGTATTTGGCATACGAGAAGCATGTATTATCTTGCGCATGCTAGTTGAAGTACGTACTGTTTAGCTTACCGTGCCAGCCCCAATGCCGCAGACACCAATCACAAAAAGTACGTTAAAAACTGCTGATCCCAATATTGTTCCAACCCCAATGTCTCCTTTTGTGACAAATACACCTGCAAAGAAATCGAACTGCTCAGTTAAATTACGAAGAAATTCCCCAATTGAATTTAGCGGGTCGTACAGTAGAATACGGCCCGCTTAATTGACCTAACTCGGCGCACGAGGTAACCGAAAATTACAATAATTCAGATTACTAACCAATCACAGATGCAAAAAGTTCAGGTGCTGAACTTCCCAAAGCCATAAACGTAGCCCCAGCTACATCACTTTGAAGATCCATTTTATCGCAGATGATCTCCAGACATGGCACAAAATAATCATCGCACACAATGGCTATTGCCCAGAACATGTAGAAAGCGACTGCAAAGTTAACAATAACGGCGCCATGTTGCCTTTGCCTTTGGTTGAAGAAGTCATCTGGAAACTCTTCTATCGATGGAGGTGTGCAGTTTTTTAGTTTGTGGGTCTTGTGAGCTAAAAGATGCCTCGACGTAATGGATACTTCTAAAAGGATTTTTAATGAAAGTAATTGATTCTAACACTACTTAAAAATAAACTGATAATAATTAGAAATAAACTTACTAGCGTGCAAATAATTGTATTGCAAAGAACAAATCATTTCAAGGACAGCCTTCTGATGATAAAATATATCTGACAATGTGACAGCCTCTTGAAAACTGCAAATGGAACAGGTACTTTGCACTTTTGGAGAGCATTGGTTTTTTTGTTTTTGTTTTTTTTTTCAAAAATCGGTATAAAGAGAGCGTTTCAGCCTCTGATCGTTTTGATATTTGATAAATCACCGGCGGAGAGAAATTGTCTCATTAAGAAATCTTCGTAAATCTTTTAAGCTTCCGTTTTGAGAAACTGCGTTGCTTTTGTATGCCCTGGGGAGTACATTTAGCTGCCATGATCCATCAACAAGATTTCCAAGACTAAAGATAAGATCTCTTAAAATTACAGGCAAAAAAATTCTATAAAAAGTTTCATTTTGGATCTAGCCTCACGCTAGTTTCGGTGGAATGATCTAAAATAAACCAACCCAAAGGAGAAAGCGAGGTCACTTTTTGCGTGGATGTCAAGACCGCGGAGAAGCTACAATCTAAAGACAGCAGCCGATTTTGGTGATGATAAGTTTAAAACGCACGACGTTTCCAGAGAAAATACTGAATGTAGAGTCTGATCTATAATAATATGGGTCTCTTACGAAGGCTCACTTCTAGGGGTAGGGGGGGGGGGGCTGCCACTAACAACATTTGTTTATTTTTGTAGGTGGTCTTCAAACAGTCGTCAAACAAAATGTTTGTTCTTAAGATAAAGACGTTTTGTTTAACTGTTTTCCTTACAGGTACATTGAACTGTTTATGATGTCTACCTGAACGTTCCCTTATGATCTCCTTACTTTCCCTTGTAACGTCTTTGATTAGGTCACGGTAAGCCAAAACAGTAAACAGGACAGCGAGGACTCCGCCGCAAGCAAGCTGAGTCTTGAATCTTCTCCTTTGCCTCATAATTGTCTAAAATCACATTTTTGTGAGAAAAAATTCAAGACTTAAAAAACAGTCTTATAATGCCAAGATCCAAACTTTTCGGGTTGCTTCATTTGCTTACACAATATGGTATTTATGTAGTAAGCTATTGGTTATTTATACAAAGACCTGCACGGTGAGATACGGACCTGTAAGAAGCGACCAACCGCGACCACTAGATCAAGGCGGAATGGCGGGAAAATTCGCACTTACCAAGTTGTTTATGTTTCCTGTTCCCCTCAATCGCGGTAAATGCGATGAAAAATAAGCTTTAAAAAGATTGACGCCCAATACTTACGTATCTATTACGTGGTGAATTGCAAATGATTGTCTAAATATTTTTATTTCAATTACAATGACCCGTAATTATGCAACCAAATGATAGTTTTGAAATAGTCTAAATAAAGCTTAAGCTTTCGACCGCCTACTATAAACTAACGATATTTGGAAGTATAAAAGTTTTTTAAGATGATAAAATTATTGACGATTTGTAGCCTCGATTTCAAAGGACTTATTTTATAGATATCACATTAGAGTTCTACTCCAAATACTCAAATTGTGTTTGTTTGGATCTTGATTGGTAAATATTGATTTGCATTCAAATTAATCTAGCTAAAAAAACGACGAGGCGCTAAAGAAATTATAAAGAAAAAGGTAAGTGCAGCACAAGGAAAATTAAAGGGAGAGAACGAAAACATGAAAATGTTCTTGTAACAGAAATTCATGTAAAGGAAAGGTTGATAGAATGTAATGTAAAGGAAAGATTGATGGAAAAATAATGGATTCAAATGGTTGTAGAAATATCAAAAGAGTGAACCATTCAGGTCAAAAGCTGATATCCATAGAGGCATCTACATCTTATAAAACTACTTACATTGACGTATCAAAATTATATCACATGCATACATCAGAAACCTAAAGCTAAAGAACTCACGTACTTCTCACCGAGAGTAGAGAACGTAGGCGCCGTGTTGTGGTCTGGTGGCTTTTTTTCGAAATTTGGGACGTCTGCAGGAAGGTTTTTCAAAAATTGTAAACTGCTTAATACAGTCTTACTAAAGTCCCTCTCAAGGTATTCTAAAGCGCTGTGAGCTCAAGAATACTCATGGCACTATAGAAATTCCTCATTAACTTTAAACATTATTATAGGAAGGAAGTATGTTTTGCCCAAGGGGAGGAAAGACAGCGTAACACAGTTCGGCATTTGCAATGTTCAACAAAAGTTTATGAAAAATTTCGCGTTACTGAATGCAAGAGCAATGTCCTCCCATAATTATATTTAACCCTCGGTAGGGATAACAGAAAAACAACGCTTTTTTGTGGTGATGAATAGTGGAAAATACAGATAGCTATGATGAAAAGTTTGTTGGAGCTCATGAATGAAGGCAAAGAACAAGTTTATCCTTGCGGTAGGAACGTCCGATAGAGTACAAATATCCAATTGCCTTAGAAGAGCCCATGCAATGTGTAATTATCTGGGCAGATCCTTCGCTCGAGTAAACTTTGACTTTCGCAAAACTAGAAGAGATCTGATAAAGCAGATTGTGATCTTGATATAATAACATAAAGGTCTAAAATTAAACGAAATCTGTACCTCAATCAATTCGACCGAACCATGCACTCGTACGGACATCGCCTCTGTCTTACCCCTTGTCAACATTTTTTCTTTTTTGCACACGTATTTCGCTTGAACCTCCCGCGACATAAAATTGTCGAACAAAACTCGCAGTTATTCTGTGAAAGTAGGTTCACAAGATATAGTCTTCCCACGAGGATTCAGAAGTGAATTTTAATTAAAAAACCACGCCCTCTGTGCCTTTGAAAGGTACAGTAATGGACACACACAGTTGGAACCATTTCAAACAAGATTACTGTCCTCCAAATGTTTAGTTAAGGTCTAAAGATCTTGATTAAGGTAAAATTTTGAAACATCTAGAGTAAGACCACCAAGATATGAAATCAAATTATGTAAAAACAGTTCCTTGGGAATAAAATATGTCATCTCTCTTTCCTAATTTGTTATGGCCGGTCAAAAAAATTAAAGATCCGACCATGAAAGCTGAATGACTAAAGAACAATGCCAAGCAAACGTCACTTGGCGAAGTACAATCGTATTTCGATATAGTGGATATAGTCATACTTTACCACAATGATTTAGTAACTTATAATATTAAAAGGTAAGAGTCGAATTGTACATTTATAACATTCAGTTTTTCTGGGTCATGTTGTCAACAATTATCCTTATTGACAAATAATGGGAGAGCTGCAGCGGTATAAGTCTGTTTTCATAACCACGATTCGCCAGTGATACAATTGTTCGGCCTTTTCTTAAACTACTACAAGACAATAACATGAAGAAAAGCTCTCTCAAAATATTAAAAATTTGTCCTTCAAAACTTCTGATCCCTGAGTTCAAACTCCTTGGCTCATAAACGCATTTGAATCGTTTGAAATTATTGGTATTGAGAAATGTTGCTTTGGAAATTGTCTTTCATTTGAAATTTATGACATTGCTTGCATTTAATTTTGTTTTTATTACCATTACCACTTGCATGATAAGCCCGTTTATCTGCTTTATTCCATAAACCAAAACAAAGAAATAAAGAAATACAAGCGAATATTTTCTTGTCCAAAATAAGTCATGTAATTATTTGATATTCGAAGCTTAACATTACATTTGTGCGATTGAAATTTGAATAAAAGTGCATATTTAGTTCATCGCATAAATGAGCATGTATTTGAATAACACAAAAAGTCACGGACAGATCCTTTTACATTTCTTTCGAGTGCATGCTGGAGTGATCAGTTTCAGCTGGATTTTTATCTACAATTTCCATATCTTTTAGCTGATTAACTGGTTACGAGAAGATTAGAGGATACTTAAAAAGATTTACTCAAAAATTCGAATGATTGCATTGCCGTAAGGAAACGGATAATAATGTATGTGGTCTGTAGAAAGATAAAGTTAAACGTTACAAACCATGTCTAATAGAGCACACCTGACATCTTCGACTTAAAAAAATAAAGAGGCAACAAATACACGGAATCCTTCATTTTGTCATCGCTCACTGTGAGAAAATAAATATCTAACCTGTGATTTTGATAAAATAATTGCATTTCACACATCTGAGTCTGCGATCTTGACCGTATTTTTTTCGCTAGACACCGTATCTGTGGACCAGATTCACTCTTTATGGTTATTTGTTTTTTCTCACCTTCACGCGACAAGACCTCAGCAAGGGTAAGTTGCGAACAATTCTATTAGCCTCGCGATTAAGACTTGAGTTTTCATAATGTTCTCCTTCAAATCAATATACACGGGCAACCAATCGACTTGAAATCAACCTCTTCGTCGTCAATACCTTTTTAACACTATCCACGATTCAAAACCGAGTTTATAAGAGGGAAATGTGATGAACTAAAAAAGAGAGAATAATGTACCGTGACATCTTTGATTAGCGAAACAGTCATTAATATGTACACAGCCGTGTTTGAAATATTCATCTTACGCCCAAGCCTCTAGCTGTTACTTAGTAACGGCGAAGAAAAATAGAATAAATTCTCTCAAGTATTTGAAAAACATGACACATTTTATTCCCTTCCTGCAATGTATAAGATAGAGTGGCAAGTTTCTAAAAACGGGGCGGGACCTAGAACGAAAAATAACGAAGTGTTCCTCTTTGCAGTTTAAAAGTTAGTCTATGAGTACAGTTCCCAATCTTGTGCTGAAAGGCGTGCCATGAATGGGCCTCGGAAAGAAGTTTCTACAAATACGGTAAAAAGCCTAAGCTTTGTTACCAGACTCTTGCGCATGTGTTACTATGCGATTGCATAGTGAAGGTGAAAAGCGGTACAAAGAATTTGTTCCATTACTTGCTTGCATAGAAACGGTGGAGAACAGCGCGATGAAATTTGTTGTATTAATTGCAAACGGTGGAACAATTTGAATGACGTACCGTTTGAAACTGGTAAACTGCCACCTTATATGCAAGGTAGCTGTTCATATTTTGAACAATCTGATGCGGATAGAAGGATTATCTCCTTTATATTACTTTTTGTCACGGATTTTTTTTGCTTAGAGACTAACTAGTACCATAAAGAGGTTTAGCATCTACTGCTGCCCATGGAAATTTTGATCTCTATTGAACTGTTGTAGACATATGATGTTAACGAACTGCTGTGAGTTTACGATGGCTGATAGTTTCTAAAGAAACTGTTTGGGGCTGCGTCGGTGGGGGTAACGAAATAATTTGGATATATCAACAAAGTTGAAATGGTAAATTGGCCACCGTAGCGATTACAAAAGCTGACGTTTCGAGCGTTAGCCCTTCGTCGGAGCGAAGGGCTAACACTCGAAACGTCAGCTTTCGATCTGCATTTATATCCAAATTATTTCCTATGAACGTATCGACTTAGTGGGAAGGCTGGGACGCGACCAGGTCCGTGCACCACAAGCGGGAGCCAAAGTATTTTTCTGTCCGGTCCGACCAAACTCAGTAAGTAAGGAGTTTATCATATGACCACTAAGGGCCTGTTTAAATGGAGATAGGGTCACCCTCTCAGGAGGGTCACCCTGCCAGAAGGGTCAAAAAATAGCCCTCCTTTACATACAAACCCGACAAACAATAAAATGGCAGGCAAACTTCTTAGGTTTCTTTTTTTTTTTTTTTTGGCGCTACTGGATCGCTTGCAGGCGTAGCTTTTTTTTTGGCGGTCTTCTGACTGTTGTTGTTTGGACGCCGGCTCGACGAAGGCGTCGAAGAAATCGGAGGCGCTGAGGCTTGATCTGCATTTAGAACGTCCGTAGACACATCACATTCTTCTACATAATTCCCATTACTTTGATGCTCGTTTGCGATAGCTTCTGCTTGATATCTTCGGAAATATTCGCCTGGTCGATATGCATGAGACGCCAATTTCTTTTTGTCATAGAAAATTTGGCGCGCGAAAAACGTCATTTGATGCAATTCGAGATAGCCCTCCCCGTTGGGTCACCCTGGTCAATGCCAGCATATTTAACATGGAGAATGGAGACAAGGAGAAAATATCTTTGCCGCCTTTTTCCGAATTGCATTTGTGCCACTACAGCCCGAGGAACTAACTAAAGTACTCATTGAAAGTGCATGTCATTATTCCTTATCGGAACTTCAGAGGGAATAGCGTGGTCACTGAAAAATTTGATGAATTCGCATAAATTATCCACGAAACTTTTTCAAACTTCAAACTAAACTTCAAACTGAAATCGAAAAAATCTCGACTCAACACTTTTTCATC